CAAATTAGTTATTTCTTAAAGTAATTATAAATTGAAGACTGTTTCTGGTTTCGAATAACTATTTCCTGAAGCAGATCTGTTGTTTTAGACAGGACCAGCGAAAGCTTCTCATTCCCTTGAAATCTTGCATTTTCGAGAAGCTTTTCGGCCATTTGTAGCCCGTCCCAGTCGGATTTTATTTCCGGTGCCTTCTCTTCCTCATCATCCACACATAGCGAGAACGTAATCCAATACTCCTACATTGTCAGTTTAGTCCGGTGTCCGCTTAATAGAGGATTTTAACAATAGAAATTAGCCAAATACAATTTATTTTAGTGTCCGCGTCCGCTTAATAGGTATCCACTGAATAGGGGTTCGTTATAAAGAGAAATATAAGACGTTAACTTCGGGACCCGGCTTAGTGTACGCTTAATAGAGGGTGTCCGCTTAATTGGGGGTCCGCTTTAAAGAGGTTTCACTGTAGATAAAAGCCACTGGGTAATTGAATGACGCAACGGAGAAGGTCATCAAAGTGAATTAAGGTAATTCCATCAAAATAAAACTCGCAATAGATTTTCTTTCAAACTTTGCCTGCTGGCTACTTATATCAAGAGAACTTAAAATTTGAAATAAAAAAGGGGGTCCCATATTCGTTTAGGAGCAGGAGGACCATCAATAGACCCCATAATTCCTGAAATTATCCGCTTTCAGAAACGTTTGTATTTGAACCATTCACCTTACGCATTAAGAGAGCAGAAAAATAGAGAGAACGTTAAGCGAGAAATACAACAATGGATGTATTTGCATAAATGTTAAGGAGCAATTTGACGTAGGTTTCATGATAAGGGCACTCATATTTAGTTGACAGGGATACAATATGTTCCAAGCACGCAGTGCTCTAGTGCCACATATTATCTTTTAAAAGTGCTAGCTATGCTCTCATTTTCCGTGATAATGTTTTACTCTACAATAGAAATTGGTCCATATTCACTGTATAGAAAGAAGGTGATCTCTGGACTCAAACTAAACAAAAAAAAAGCAATAGGTCCCGGAACTCGTTTTCGAGAAAACAACGATGATTTGTCTCTCGCGAGCCAAGAGTCACCATTTTGTATATGTTGTGTATGTGTACACGCTCGTGAGCGCGCGCCAATGACGCGAAAATCGTGCGCAGTAGGGATGCGCGATGCAATTCTGAGGAATAACCTCAAGGAATCGACCTCCCACAACCAATCAGAGTGCGTATTTTCTTTGGGCTGTTTCTGAAACACTTAAAGGAGCTTCGCCACGGTTTGCGCACCTTGAAAAGTTTAACCTAAATTTTTCAGGATCGTCGTTTACAATCTCAACCAAAATTAAATAGCTTGAACCACTTTTTGGAGACGTAGAGTTGAAATGAAAATCTGAGCAACCGATTGGTTTTTTATTCAATGTAGAATTGAATGCCTACCTTCGTTTAGCCAAGCTAATTTCGTGTACTGTAAAGCTAAGCTGTAACATAATCTATATAAGTGTTCCTTTTCGTCAACGTCGAACGTCGCCAACGATTAAGCCCCTTCTACATTACACCAGAGACAATTGAAAACGGCGTTTTCACTCCAAAAAAACGCATCAAATGTTTTCCGTCCACACTACGCATGAGAAATTTTAA